AAGAGAGAGATGAAATCTTTGAAAAATATTTTCAAAACACCTTGTTTAGGGGTTTGGAGTTGAAGAAAAGAGGAGAAGAGGGAAGAAAGCAAGTTGGAGAAGAAGATGGGCATGAATCGTTAAGAGAGAGTCAAGCAACCCTCGCTAAATCAGGCCTATCCGTTTGAATACTTGGATTTCATATATGAGGCCACCACCGTTGGAAAGCTTACTTCTGGGGCTTCATTTTTCACTTAAGAATCTCCTAAAGCCGATTCCAGATGCGGGAGATATGATTGGTTGAAGTTGGGCATCATTCCGGTTGGACCGAAACTGAGCAGCCTTCACTAAAAGAGGGATATCTCTTAGCACACATGGAATTTTGATGTGAGGATTGCATAATTGGAAAGAAAACTTTCGGGGTTATAGTTTAGGCTCAAGAATGACCTAAAAAGGAGTCGAGATGAAGGAATTAGGCTTTCTTCAAGTTAGGGACCAGGACTGATTTTTTCCATCGGCCTCTATGGAAGTGCATCGGCCACAATTTGACCTCATCGACCATAGGTCGGCCAAAAGTGAACCTTAACGGCCGAAAAAGATGGCCGGTTGGCACCAAAGATAGCCAATCGGCCAGAAGTGTCCAGAAAGCCCATAATTGGCAGATATTTCTCCTCCAGCTGTTTCCAACTTGTGACACCTGTCCCAAATCAGATATTTTCGACCAAAAGCTTTGCATTGCTATGTATACAGCCAAATATCTCATATTCAAAGATATAGAACTTCTTAAGCAAGTTTAAAAGCTTCTCTCACTAAACTCCCTCTCTTTGTACAGAATTTTCAGACGAAAATCTCTGCATCTCTCTCTTGCCCTTTGGTGCATAAAAGTGCATAGAAGTGGAGAAATACAACTCCTTTGCCTAAGCATCCTTCATCAAAGTTGCATATCCATGGGCTAAGGTCTCTTGGAACTAGTTTTTGGGCTGATAGAAGGTCATTTGAGCCAAGAAAGAGGCCCTTTTGCTGCTGTGCTACAAGGGTAAGCACCTCTCTTCTTTTGTATTTGTTTTGCACACTTACTTCACCACCTTTACACACTACTTTGGGGCTGTTTTTTTGGGTGGTGTTGAACTACAAAAACCTCTATTTTTTCTCTGGTTTTTCAGTCCTAAAAGTCTTGGTTTATGCCTTGGTTGGCTAGGGGGTTGTCCTTCATTTTGCTCCTTGGCTTGTAAGGCCTTGTGAGCTAACTTTCAAACTTTTCAAACAACATCTTTTTGGCCTTAAAACCACTAAATTCCAGAGGAATTTTAGTGGTAGAAAACTTGTTTTGAGGCTCAAAATATGAGGGGGTTGTCCCCCCTTTCTCTTCTCTTGTTTGCTTGTATTGATGGCCCTCCAAAAGAGCATGTGTTTCTACTTCTTGAAGGCTTTGTTAAGGCTCATTTTTGCAACTTTCCAGACCTGCCATAACTCTGTTTTGGGCTGTCTTGCTCACCCCATGCATGCTTTTTACACTTATAGTGTAATCCTTGCAAACTAGCCCTGTATGCTTAAGCTTTTGGCTCATCTTTCTAGCATGTGTTGGCTCCATTCCAGCATGGCTTTTGGTCATTATTTAACATGCCTTGACTCTGATTTTAGTTGGTGAAGTCATCTCATGCTTGGCTTTGGTAGGTGTAGTGTAAACATGCTCATTGGCCTAGCCTGCTTGATGTTTTGGCCCTTCATGCTAGCTTGTCTTGGCTATACTCCATACATGTTTTAGCATTATTTTGACATGCTCTAAGACTGTTTTGATTGTTCTTGGCCTTTTGAGGCTCACTTTGTATAGCTATAGTGTATTTGGCTTTGCTAGCCTTGCACTTTAAGCCCCCTAGCATGTCATATTTGAGTTATTTGCATGATATGGCATCATTTGATTGGTAATTTCAGACCATAAACTTCTGCCATGCTCTCATATTTATCACTCTTTAATTGTGTTTAAGAGTTGTGCCATTATGCCTTGTTTGTGAGCTAATTCGGGAGCCTATCTTTCTTGCCATCATTGTTACATGTCCAGCATGTTTTTTTTTGGTACCATTTTGACCTGCCTTAGGTCTGTTTTGAGTGCTTTAGGTCATTTGAGCATTGCTTGGTATGGTTATAGTGTAAAGCCCTTAACTAGTTTTGTATTACAAGCCCTTTTGCGTGCTTTATTTGAGCTATTTGCATGATATGGCATCATTTGGTAGGTGATTTCAAAGCATATTGCATTGCCACACTCTCACATTTTCCACTCTTTCAATGTGTTTGAGAGTTGTGTCTTCATGCCTTATTGGTGAGCCAATTTGTGTGCATGCTTGTCTAGCCTTTTGAGCTTCAAATTCCAGCATGTTTAGGCCATTATTTTGATGTGATTAAGCTCTGTCCAGAGCTAGTTTAGTCCATTAAGCATTGTATTGCATGGTCCTAGTGTAAAGCTCTTCACTAGTTTCAACGCTTAAGTGTTCTAGCATGTTGTGCAAGCGATGTTTGCATAGTCGAGTCTTGCATTTCATGCCACTTTAGCATTGAAAATCTGCCATCCTCCTCATTTCTTCACTTTTGATTTGTTTTGAGAATTGGTTAGTCTTGAGTTTGAGTTTAATGCAAGGGATTGAGACTTGTGCTTAAATGGCTTTAACCCTCTTTTGAGGGTTACTCCTAGTCAAAGGCATTGGGAAGAAACCAAGTTAGAGAAGAAGATGGGCCGGAATCACTAAGAGAGAGTCGAGCAGCCCTCACTAAACTAGGCCTATCCTTTTGTATATTTGGATTTCAACTATGAGGCCACCACTGTTGGAAATATTACTTCCGGGGCTTCATTTTTCACTTAAG